AAAGAACACAGGGAGAGACACCAGGGGGCGCATACACATAAGGGCAACCAAATCAAAAGGCAGCAAGCAACAAGGGGCACCTGGGTGGCTCAGTCGGTTAAGTGTCCAACTCTTGGTTTCAGCTCAGGTTATGCATGGTCTCAGGGTCCTTGGATCGAGCCCCACATCTCCCATGTCAGGCTCCCTGCTCAGCAGAGAGTCTGCTTGAGCATTCTCCAGTTCCGCCCTTCCCTCCCCCCACTTCTAAATAAGTCTTAAAAAAAAAAAAAAAAGAGGCAGCAACAAGGTGGCCATCTGCAAGCCAAGAAGAGAGGCCTCAGAGGAAACCAACCTTGCCAGTACCTTGCTCTTGAACTTCCAGCCTCCAGAACTGTGAGAAATTGAATTTCTGTTCTTTAAGTCAACCAGTCTATGGTATTTTGCTATGGTAGCCCTAGAAAGCTAAAACAAATAGCTCTGGGAGAAAAATGATAAATACAAAGAGAGAAAGCAAAAATAGCAAAATGTTAATGTTGCTGATTTCATTCTATGATTCTTTCAATTTTTAGATAAATTTGAAATTTTCCAAAATAAAAAGGTTTATATTAGCATCCCAAAACTCTGGACAGTTTTTATCATCACAATAGTCAAATTTTATGTACCTATATAAAATGAACCACCTTACTATTTCAGCTGTGAAATGAGACAATTATCAACCTGACATTAATTGATACTAGAAGAATTTTAAGTGTTCTAAACCAATTAACATAATACCTGGTAGACTAAGTACTTAATAAATAATGAGTATCACTAGCAATAAATTCAAATTCCAAATGAGAGATGTGATTCTGCTTCAGGCTGGCATCATTGTTGTCAAAAATGTATGAGTAGTAGTTTAAGAAAATCATCTTAATCCTGAAAGCAATTAACTGTATTCTCATATATACCAAATGGACCAATCATTACAAGTAAACAAATCAATTCTACACTGTTGAATCATTTTATATAAGTACAATACAGAAAAACAAACACATTCTTGAGGTAAGAAATCATGGAAGGAACAACAAAGAAATTTTGAAATGTAAATGAAAGTTTTTAACTTACTGACTGACTAAATCAGATCCCATCTTAGTGCCATCATCTGCCTCCTCTTCCATATCAGAGTCCATACCATTGTCACCTTATAAATAAAATAAACTATTGAAAGCAGGCTTATAAAATGTCAGAACAATTTAATCATTACACAAAGTGCCATCTATAAAAGTGATGAAGATTCAAGAACTTTATAGTTGTTGAAAGATGAAATTATTAATTGCTTATATTTAAAATGAGTTCCTTTCAATGCCTTATTAGGTATTTCTCACTGCCTTCCCGTTACCTATTTTATAAATACACACACACACACACACACACAAAACGTGTCTGTGTGTGTGTATACGTGCGTGTATATATATATACTTATAGGCTACACCCAAATGTATACATCTATTAGCAAAGTTACAAATTCCATTAAACCATTCTAATTTTTTTTAAAGATTTTATTTTTAAGTAATCTCTACACCCAACGTGGGGCTCAAACTCACAACCCTGAGATCAAAAGTCGCATGCTCTACCAAGTGAACTAGCCAAGCGTGCACATTAAACCATTTTACATTTAAAAGAGATATTATCTCTGGAAATCAAAAGTCTCCATTTTTTTGCTTCTTCTCTTGTAATGCTAATGTTAAAATCCTTGTACAGTTCCAAAAGAAAAAAAAAAGCCTGAAAATCTAAAATTCTGGGGCGCCTGGGTGGTTCAAATGGTTAAGCGTCTGCCTTCGGCTCAGGTCATCATCTCCGGGTCCTGGGATCGAGCCCCACATCAGGCTCCCGGCTCAGCGGAGAGTCTGCTTCTCCCTCTCCCCCTGCTCATGCTTTCTCTCTCTCTCTCTCCTCAAATGAATAAATTTAAAAAAAAAGAAAATCTAAAATTCTACAGGTAATAGTGTCACAAAAAAGAGTCACACTTTAGGCAGAGATAAATGTAGGCAAATTGCAAAAATTCTTCCAACTCTGCAGCCAGGTCTTATTAGAGCAAAAGTAGTATAGCAACAGGCAGTTACAAGCAATAGGGATGTAAAGCAGAAAATAAAAAATTATTTTAAGAAAAGCCATCTCAATAATTAATACTTCTTTACAGCATTTTGGGTAAAATTTATTTCATTTTATTATTGTATACAAACTTATGCTCTTATCTTTGATTATATTTGATTTGAGAAAACGAAATACACATCAAAAAGTCTATTCTTGAAAGGCTCTTCTGCTATGTAAGCTGTATTTCAAAGTACAAATAGAAAAATTACTCAGTGATTACCCAGTAATGAAATTAAATAATCAAGTAAAAAAAAAGAATAACTTAGGATTTATGATAGTTATATGTTAACTAGTAAAGTTACCAGAGTGCAGAAATACATATTCTTACCCTCAAGAATCTTCAAGATTTTTTTTTCAGAGAGGAGCTCTAACTGTTCCTGGCACAGTTTTTTAATTTCTTCTATTGAACAGTTCTAAAGAAAATGACATTAAAAAAATACATTTATGTAATATAGTGCCAATGTAAACTAGAAAACAGTAATCATAAATAATGTCTGGTTAGCAAACTCTTACATTAAAACAAATTAAAAGCCATATAAATCTTTCCATGAGATGAAATCTGTAAAACGGTCAATAACATGTAAACGTTATAATTTATAGACATTTGATGAAAATAAAGTCATGTATAGATGAGAATAAAGTCATGTTTATTATGGGGCGCCTGGGTGGCTCAGTTGGTTAAGCGACTGCCTTCAGCTCAGGTCATGATCCTGGAGTCCCTGGATCGAGTCCTGCATCGGGCTCCCTGCTCGGCAGGGAGCCTGCTTCTGCCTCTGACCCTCCCCCCTCTCATGTGCTCGCTCTCTCTCATTCTCTCTCTCTCAAATAAATAAAATCTTTAAAAATAAATAAATAAATCAAAAAATAAAGTCATGTTTATTATGAAAGAACAAACTAAAGAGTAAGTCAGGTGTCCAGATATTCTTAATAGCAGTCTATTTGTTAGGTAATTCCTCTAAAGATTTATATACTCAAGTGCTGGCTCTATACATCTTAGATCTTCCATGCCCTATTTCCATAACTGTAAAATTAGAATACCATAAATAAATATATGAAAATATTTGTGAATTTAATGAAATGTAAGCTTTTACCAACCAATATTGTATACTGTTACATAGCAGAATATTATTTAAGACACCAGAGTCATTATACTGCTAATTTTGTTACTAAAATTGCCTGCATTTAATAGAATTATTTCCAAAAGGTTAATAAATTCTTTACCTAAACACAGTATACTGCTCCATTTTTTCTTGGCAAATTTTTAAATATACAAGGCCATTTATACTTCTCCAAGATCCCATTTTTTAATCTTTTTGACGTAGCTTGAGTTGAAAACATCCAATTATAATTTACATGAAGTAAAATGATTACTATAAAAAAGGTGTTTGTGTATTTCTATATATATATGTATAATCCAATAATATATGTAATGAAATACCTTTAACACATCAGGAAGCATCTTCTGTAACTTTTTCTCGCCTATGATACAGAAACACTGCTGAAGCATTTCTTTTTTGTCTGATATATAGAAACTAACTGGTTTTAATGACACCGTCAGGTCCAGTCCACCTTCTTCAAGGTCACTGTGCTCTGCCAAGAATAATTCTTTTTCCAAAGTTGGCAAAAGGTATTTGGTATCCTAAAATTAAAAGAGACAAAGAACCATTAAATAAAGGAGTATGCATATGATGTCATACATTTACATTTAATAACTACTTCTTCATTAAACATTTCCAAATTCTTTCTTTGCATATATTATTTACCTAAACCAGTGAAAAATATATTTAATTGTTCAATATTCTTTGATCTTACTGTCTGTACTACAATTAACTTGATCAGTTGATATAAAGTGAAGATATTATCTCAGGACACACAAGTGAAAATATACTCAATATTTAAAAAAAAAAGAAAATATACTCAGTATTGAGTGATCTACAATTTTAGACTTCTGAACAATTAGGATATTCCTCTAGCATGCCACTCAACCCAAAATTTTATGTATGCCTTGTTATTCTTCTTAAATTCATAAAAAGAAATGGGATGGCAGCAAAAATGTTGAAGATCACAATTATGAAGTATTACTGCTTACCACTCATTTTTAAAACTGCTATGTAATTTAATCATATTCAAAGTAGCCAAGTCATTTAAGACATTTCTGTCAATTTTACCTCCTATCTCCAAAATCTATCCAGTCTCTCCAAATCTACTTGCCATAATCCTGGTCCAAGGTACCATCATCTTTTGCCTATATTATCTCAACAGCTACTTAACTGGATGTCTTGCATCTAATCTGAGGTCTCTCCAAAAATATACATATACTCATCCTTTTTTTTTTTTTTTTAAGATTTTATTTATTTATTTGAGAGAGAGAGAGCAAACGGGGGGAGGGAGAGAGATAAGCAGACTCAGGGTTGAGCGCAGAGCCTGAAATGGGGCTCAATCCCATGACCCCGAGATCATGACCTGAGCCAAAATCAAGAGTCCAACGTTCAACTGACTGAGCCATCCAGGAGTCCCGTGAATTTATTTTTCAAATGAACCAGAAAGGGCAATTAATACAATGAGAATCAGGTAAATGATTAAGAAAAACTTAACTTTTCAAAAATAGTGATAAGGAAATAGCAGAAAAAAAGAAAAATACCTGCTGTCATCTAACCCAGGCTTCGAGCAGCAGGATAAGGCAGTAAACTGACTGACAGAAAAATCACAATAGATACAATTTAAAAATCAAGAAAACTAAGGCAGCTGCTAATCTCTGGCTTTTTATTAAATTAACACAGGATCACTATCACTGCCAAGGTTCAACAACAGAAGAACGGTCATACAGTGCAGTTCTAGCTGTTGCTCTTAGTAAGACAACTGATCAAGCCAGAGTAATAGTTCAGTATTTTCAAGAATAAACATCTTAATGCAAAGTAGTCATTTACTCACCTACATCTAAGCAATATGCTCTTCTTTTCATTCTATCTCACTAAAGTGCCTAACCCTACTATGAACAGCAGTAAATAGGAAGCTACTCCTATTTGGAAGGGTGAAATAGCTTTGTAGACTACTTAAAAAATATAATTATTACAATGTACTAAAACCTAGTACACTGTAACTAGTAACCACTACACTGTAAATAGTAACTAGTAGTAGATGACACCAACTTCTCTTTTCAACCACTTATATTTAATACCCATGTATTCCATTTTGAACAAAAATATTCACATTTGAAATTCATAAAACAGATGATTAAATGGAGACTTAAAAATAATTCCTGCCAAAGAATTATTCACTTTGCAAAACAATTTCCTGTGAATTTTATTCACTAGTTAAATATTCTAGTGAATAAAAATGGTTCAACTTATATCTGTTATCTAAAATCTCTAAAGTCTACTTAGGAATCTCATTTTTTTAAAAAAAGTTAATCATCTAAAACTGGAATCCAATAATAGCTATTTATTTTTTTAAAGACTTTTTATTTATTTGACAGAGAGAGACACAGAGAGAGAGGGAACACAAGCTCGGGGAGTGGGAGAGGGAGAAGCAGGCTTCCTGCCGAGCGGGGCTCGATCCTAGGACCCTGGGATCATGACCTGAGCCGAAGGCAGATGCCTAACAACTAAGCCACCCAGGCGCCCCAAAACTGGAATCCAATAATAGCTACTTTAGAATATGCCTGGGTGGCTCCGTTGGTTGGGCGACTGCCTTCGGCTCAGGTCATGATCCTGGAGTCCCGGGATCGAGTCC